TGATGATACAAACAAAAATCATTTATTGTAATATTTGTGCACTTGTACAAAAGATTATTTTTGTTTTTCTTGTAATAATGTTGATTGTTGATTTTTTTGTAGACAATTATTTCGCCGAATGAATCAAAGACTGGTGGTGAATTAATATGACAACAAAGTAAATCGAAAAATAAAGTTTCAAAATATCTTAGAATTAGAAGATATAAGATTGCTTGAGAGAAGAATGGGAAAAATAGCACATATCAGAATGAAATTGAAGACATGAAATTTTTCAGCGGACAAAAAACTGTTCATTTGATAGAAATTACGTAGAATCGTGATAAATGTGACTGGAACATGTTTAGCGACACCAGCATCATCAAGAAATCTTGATACCTGAATTTTTCTTAAAATATTTGACTTGAGAAATGTTTGAACTATAGATAACAACTCAGAGATATATTTGAGAATTTTCTATTATTAGTTATTGAAAATCGACTTAAAACGAAATTTATTTGAAGAAGAAATCATAAAGTTTTGGTAAAATATGATTCTTCTTTCAAACGTGAACCTAGAAATTGACCAAGTTATTTTGATTGGGTGATGCTCGTAAACTTTCGCTTCACTTCATAATCAATCTGCAGATATGCATCAAAGCTTGACACAGTTCAGACATCAATGATGTACGAATCAGCAATCATAAGCATATATGAAATTATTTTTATTGAGTTTTAATTTATTCACTTGTTTTAGACAACCTATTGAAATTTGGTTGATAAAAAGTCATTTTTGAACTTTTCTACAGACAACATAAAAGATAAGAAAAAAACACTAGTTTTCAATTGCGCTTAAAATAAAATTTCAAACACAAAAGAAGAAGTTAAAGTATAATTCGGAAGTTCTAACATTTCGATTATAGAAAAACAATCAAATCAATATGCGTATTCTTTACACTTTTCTCAACAATGTTCATTGTTCAATAAGGTGATACATCGATTTTTGAATTCGAACTTATTTGCTTTTATTTCTCAAACAGATACTATTCGAACCAATGACAGATAACAACGAGATTGACATTAATTGAGAATGATCATAGTTACATGTATCATCCTATTCATTATTTATTTCATTTCAATGATAATACTGAAGTTCCGTTTTTCTTATTCATCTCTTTATTATTTATTTTTCCCTCGCGTTAAATAAATAGTTGATAGGTATATTCGTGCACATATGAATAAATAAACCAATCAGGTGTGAAGTTCGCCTCCCAAAATAGTCATCTTCTTCAATCGTATATGAAGTCATCGTTTTCAATGTATTTAACCATTATTCTTCTCTTTCACCAATGCAAGGAATTGCTCCTATGTTTAGTTGAATTATTCTTTCTGTTACAAATATAACAGTAATCCAATTATACCCAGAAATTTGTTATTCGATCGACGAACATTGTCTTCTTTTTTTCCAGTTGATAATGCAATGATATGTTGTCACATTGCAACGAAAAGAATAATTCACTTTGTGAATTCAACAATTTTCTTTTCACTTTTCTAACAGCCTGTCAGATCCTCTATATTCAGCACAGAGAAACTCTTCCTTTTGAAACATAAATTATACAAGAAGATCTTTTATTTACAATACATTTCTTCATTTGAATATGCATCGGTTACTTTACCAGTAGACATGTGTTATCAGTAAGACAGACGCTTTCGTACGCGCGCAGACATATCTGTTCAAATAAAAACGAAAGAAAAATATTCTTTTCTCTTCCTTACATTTATTTCTTCGAGCAACAAGAAGAAAAATCACAATTTCTTTTTTACATATTCAAGATTTATAATATTGGGATGATTTGCAGGTAGTAAGTTTTCTAGTATTTTAAGACGGCGTTTACAAAATGAAAGTGCATTCGAATAATCACCCATACTGTGATACACCAAGCGAATATTGTTGTAAGAGACAGATGGGCAAGTCAAGTTATTTTTTGACTTCACTTGGCTTGAACCTTAAAAACCTCTGACTTGCCCATCTCTGGTAAGAGAGAGCCAAATCAGGATGATTTGAAGGAAGAGTTTTTTAACGAATTTCCGATGCTTTTTAATGAAATAGAAATGCATGCGAATAGTCGCCCATCTCTGAGTACACCAAACCAATCTTGTGATAAGAAGTACTCAAATTGACATCCGTTGGTGAGCAATCTTATGAAGGATTTCATTTGATTGTTGATAATAGGCAATAAGAATCTGCATGTTCACCTTGAAGCTTCTTCATGCGTCCGAGCATACTGTAAATTAATGACTTTTCATAATCAGTCGTTGTTTGATGAAGCGAAATGTCACACATCTCTTGAGCTTTGTTGAACTGCCCCGTATAATCATTATGTCACCCAAACGATCCCACCCCAAGGGGGAAACGGTGGATTTTCGGGATTTTGAATCCCAATAAAAATCCAAAAATCCCATGATAATCCCAAAAATCTAATATAATCCCAAAAATCCCATAAAAATCCTAAAAATCCCATAAAAATCCCGAAAATCCCATGATAATCCCAAAAATCCAATATAATCCCAAAAATCTCATGTGAATTCCAGAATTAGGATTAAAATGATTAGGATTTTATGATTATTTTAAAGGGCAACTATACACGAGTAAGTGTAATCCCGTGACTATCCGACTTTTTCTTATAAAAATGG